CTTAAGTGCTTTGCAGACAAGATCGTGCCTAACTTGTCGGCATGTAATGCTGGTTGAATAAAATCAGAGCAATCGCCAGGGCTGATGGCTGCTGATGAGGTCGGGTGCTGAGTTCCAGCCTTGCTAGTTTCAGCCCGTGTAGGTGCAGACTCAGTTGGCATCTTAGTTCCACAAGGTGCATCTGCCAATTCTGACCCGCTCAGCCTGCACTAGGAGGCTCACCTCTGTCCGCAGAAGGACTGTACAAGTGTATAGCTCTGAGCTAGGGGTCTAGAGAAAGCACCTCCAGCACGCAGCCTCCCTCTGGTCTCATGGTGCAGCCAGGGTTCTGCCTCCATTTGCTGCCTTGTTATCCAGTTCTTAGAAGGGATTGGGCTCATGTGCCCCACAAAGACCTTACACAGCCCTGCTTTCGGGGCTGGAGGCAGTCTCTTCTTACCCCAAGCCTGGGGACCTCTTTGGAGATGAATTTATTGGAATCTTGTACAGAATTCCATTTCTCATCGATTAGTGCTTAACTTGTAATAGGATTTAGGGCAGGGAGAGGTACTAGGAATCAACATGAAGTCCTTCACAGAGAGGAAACTCAGAGGGCTTCAGTTCCGTGGGACAACGGGAAGGAGTGGACGTAGTCCTAGTTTTCTGAGGGCTGGGACATGGCTTCTGTTCTTTTAGACATTCTCTATGACCTACATACTCTTAGATTTTTTGATTTTTGAGTGTGTATGTTAATATTTACAACTACGATTGTACAACAACTATGTAGTTTTATCAGCTGTTGCTCATGCCTATTGACACTATAGTATTTGGTGCATATATGTTCACAGTAACTATATTTCCTTATATTTCATTACTGGTTATATTGGATCTGTAATCCATAATACCCCTCTTTGATTCCTGACAGGGGTTTCACCTGACATTTCAATTACTTTCTTTTTTCTTTCTTATGTGTCTTCTGTAAATATTAAATTACTGTATCTTTTAGAATATCTGTTCTGAGAGCCTGTCTTTTGATTAGTGGTTAGTATAATTCATTCACATTTACTATACTTAACATTATATTCAGAATTATTTCATCCATATTATTTCACAATTTTTATTATCATATTCCATGTATGTTTCTTTTTTTCCTTCCTAACTTCCATTGAATAGACAATTTTTTTAGCTGATTTTGACATATTTTATTTTGATTCTTTTGGTGGTCATTCACAACTTCTTCAGATCTCTAGTTATGCTTATTCTCCCTGTCAATTTCCTAAATTTACCATTAGCTATCTCTTCCCTGTAAATAAGACAAGCACCTGAGGCTACTCTCCTGTTTCTCTGAGCTCTCCCTCACAGCCCAACCTCACTCCTATACCATGCTAGTATCACCTAGAATTTTGGCTGTAGATTGATGTGTATATTTTTGTTTTAGTCATTGCTTTAGTAAATTATTTAGTCACCCATATCTCTCCTGTTGCTTGCTTTCATTTCTTTTCTTGAAATAGGATAGTCTTTTAAAACATTTTCAAAAGAGTCTTTGTGTGATAAAAATTCCGAAGCCCGACATGTCTGAAAATACCCTTATTTGGCCAATGCGTATAAATGGTAGGTTAGCTCAATATGAACATTCTTAGTTTCAGGATTGTTTGCCTTGAATGTGGTGACTACACTCCACTTTCCTCACGCATCTGCTATGCCGATAGATATAATGTCAATATGATTTGTGTTCCTTTGAAAGTTACTGATTTCTTTCCCACTTTGAAAGTTTTATAATTTCCTCTCCTTTAATGTTCTTCGATTCCTATAGTATACTGAGATGTCTCCCTCTCCCTCTCTCCCTCTCCCTCTCTCTCTCCCCCTCTCTTTCTCTCCCCCCCCCCGCTTCTCTCTCTCTCTCTGAGATCATACATCTTTCTCAAATCTGGGAAATTCTTGGCCAATAAATCTTTATATATATTCTGTCTTTCTCTTATTGCTTTCTTCCTTTCAGGATCTCTGATGTATAAATAGATGGCTCTACTTCAGTTTTCCATATCTCTTTACTTTCCCCTTCTAAAACTCCTTTTAATGTCTTCTTTATTTATTTTGGAGAATTCTTAAGGCAGATCTTTGTGCTTACTAATCTCTGGCTAAATTCATTCTGACATTTAGCCCATGTATATACACATGCACATATATGGGCTAAATGTGTGTGTGTGTGTGTGTGTGTGTGTGTGTGTGTGTACGCCTGTGTGTCTGTGTATACACATATATATAATCTTTTTTTCTATATAATTTCTTATTCTTTTTTTTAATTTTCCCAGTACCCCCCCTGCCTTATTTCTTAGAGGAAATTAAACAGTCTTATTTTAAACTCTTGTTCCATCTGTTCTATTTATTCTGCTTCATCTGGTATGAATTTCTCTTCTTGTTATCTTTCTCTATATAGCAGTTGTATTCTTAAGAAGTCTCATTACTTTTACTGAGCTAATACACCCTTCTGATATTATCTCTCTGTGCTGGAAGTGGGTATTTGAGGGGAGCGGATCAAACCCATGTAAACACGTTCTCTGCTTCTGAGGGTTTTTCGCGATGGAGGGAGGATGTGTCTTCTGGTGAAGAGCATCTGGTATTACACATTACGTCTCCCCCTTGGCACTGGTCTCACTTAACTGTCTCCTAAGCACGATTACCTAATACTGGAGCCGTGAAGAGGGTGTAGGGATAAAGGAATATTCCATGGCTGGAAAGCCTGGTGAACCTGTTTTGAACTGTCCTTCATCCAAGTTCATGTGTAGTAGAATCTTTAATTTATCCGTCCGCTGAGCTATCATTGGGATGGCTGCTCTTCTCTCACACTGGGTAAATGGGATTTCTTTGAGCTTCTTAAATCAGTAGATTGAAGTCTGTCATCGGTTTTGGAAAATCTCAGCCAGGATCTCCTCAAATATTAACTCTGGTGCATTCTCCTTGTCTTCTTCTTCTGTGACTCCAAACAGAAGTGTGTTGGGCTACTTGCCCACCATTCACGTGTCGGCTCTTGTTAGTCTTTTCCTTCTCTCCAAGCTTTGGGTTTTCTGTTAACTTGCCTGATCTACGGTGCCTCGTCTGCTACTAAGTTTATTCAATGAGGTTTCAATTTCAGATACTCCATTTTTTACTCAGAATGTCTATTTGATTCTTTTTACAGATTCCAAACTTTTTTTTTTAATTCTCCATCTTTTCAGCCACTTAGTGCCTCTCTCCCCTCCTGGCTTTGATATCTTTAAAATTGATAATTTTAAGTCATTGGGTGCTAATTTCAATATCTGTATTATTTACAGATGTGCTTCTGTTGACGACTTTTTATCAATCATTAGTCATGTTTTCCTACTTCATATTCATGTCAGGTTTGATTATAAGAAAGTAATTGTGTACACAAAAATGATAGAAACTAAAGTTGTTGCTACTGTTTGTCTGAGAATTTCTGCCTCTCCCCACTTACCTTTCCTTTTTATAAGATAGGCACTAGGGGCTAATCACCTCAACCCAATTAAAGATTGAGCTGATTTGAGTCTGGCGTGTGACATGAGAAGCAGTGCACCTGTTTTCCGAGTCTGCTGACCGAAGCAGATGGTGGGTCTCCCTGGCAAGTGAGGCAGTGGGAGACCTCATCCCCTCTCTATTGGCTCTGCCCCTCTTGTACCACTCCAGAAGCTAGCAAGAAACCTATAGGAGAAAACAGCTCAGCGTTTTGAGCTCCTTTAGATTCTGATCTCTTAGGCCAGCTCACATTATTTTAAAAATACCCACTGACTTATCTTTCTCTCAAAAGATTCTCTCTGCCTAGGAAAAGCTTAAACCTTAGTCTTTGCCCAGATTCAGAAAATCACCCCTACCCCTGCCTCCCAGGAATAAAATGGTCAATGATTGCAGCTCAGCTGGGAAGGGCTCTTCCTGCTCTGGAATTTTTTTTTTCTTTTGAGATGGAGTCTCTCTCTGTTGCCAGGCTGCAGTGCAGTGGCACAGTCTTGGCTCACTGCAACCTCTGCCTCTCGGGTTCAAGCAATTCCCCTGCCTCAGCCTCCCAAGTAACTGGGACTACAGGTGCCCACCACCACGCCCGGCTAATTTTTTTGTATTTTTTAGTAGAGATGGGTTTCACCATGTTGGCCAGGATGGTCTCAATCTCCTGACCTCATGATCCACCCACCTTGGCCTCCCAAAGTGCTGGGATTACAGGTGTGAGCCACTGTGCCTTGGCCTCCCAAAGTGCATGGATTACAGGTGTGAGCCATTGTGCCCAGCTGCCCAGCTCTGGAATTTTAATTTGTTTGGTTCTTCTAATTCCACAGCTAATCAATGGTTTACAACTGTAAAATTATAAATCTTTATAATTTATCAATTTTTTTCTAGTTGTTGTGTTCAGAGTAGTGGACTGTTTATGTTTACTCAAACCTGCCTAGAAACTGAAACCCTTACGGTAGTTAGGGATAGCAGATAAACCAGTTTTTAGTTTCTGCCCAGTGCTGGAAAAAGGATTAAAGACACACCAGGAAAATTGTCCTCCCCACACCCTGTCTCTGGAGTCTCTTTTTCCCTACTCCAGACAATAATTTCTCCCTGTACTACCCCACCCCAGAAGCCCAAGTACCCAGAGTTCTTGATGTTTTATGGAGGGGGGCGGGGGTTTTTGTTTTTAATGGCTCCGCTAACTTCCTTCTGTTTTTGTGCATTGGTGAGATTGAGGCCAAATCAGTAGAACTCCATATTAATTCACCGTTTGAATTACACTAAAAACCCAACTCCAACACATAGTGCCCGTATCACTTTGAGCAAAGCACTTCTCCTCTCCTTCACACAGCTTTAGACTCATGTCTGACCTGGTTCACACCCATTAGAATGGGAAGAAAGTGTGCAAATCACGGGAGCCCTCACTGTTAGGCAGTTATTCCTTCTTGCCTTTCACACACACGCAGTGGCTGGCAGGTGCCATCTGTATCTCTCTGAGTGTCTGATACTGTGATTTACCTTTTTGCCCATCTGTTTTGTTCTAGCTTGAAGCACAGTTCATGAGGAGTCCTTACCATCCTTACCACTATCTCTCAGCTGGCTGCTTTCTTTCAACTGACCTCCCTTCCTTTCAGATCATCTCAGGCAGGCCCATGCTCTTCCTGTGACTGCCCGAACTGGAGCGTGATGCTGGTGAGTGGAGCTCATATGGAAGCTTCCAGAATGACTGCTGTTTGGCATCTCATTAGCTGCCACTTAATCCTGCCTTCCCTGGAAGCTTGATGAGTGTTAGAGACAGAATGCTTGTGCTTAGGTACTGCAAGGAAAAATCAGCATTCAGACAGAAAGTTTTCTTAGCAAGGCAGTTTTACTTTCTGCAGAAAGGGGACTGCTCATTAGCCATCTTGCTATGAGAGTACAATAAACAAAGGAAAGGCAGGCATATTTATTCTTTACTCATTGGGTTTTTACTGCTGTGTCTGATCTGTTAGTTGGAGCTACACTTAACAATTTAAACTGAACTTAATTGGCTGACAACTTAAAATTTTTTTTAATCAGTAAAGGCAATGGAGAACAAAAGAGGAAGTCTAAATAAGGAAGGGAGAGGAAGTTAATAATATAAATATCTTAGTAAAAGTACAAGGACATAGAATGCACTTATTCTTTCATATCTAACAGCTACATAAGAGAAAGCTTAATGAAGAGTTACTAGCAAAAAGTAAGAAAACTTTGAAGAAAGTCTTTTTAAAAGACTATTATTTCTAATATTTATTATTATTCTTCTTTAACAAGAAAAGAAACTTTGAAGAAGAACTTTTTACTTTCTACAATGAGTCAGTGCTGCTGGTGAAATTGCATCAAACCGAAGAGCCACCCGTCAGGAGGAAGATGTAGGGAGGCCCTGTCTTCACTTCCCATGAGCCATTTCTTGCCTAATGGGGACAGACAGCTCTGAGCTGCATAAAAAAACCATGCATGGCTCACTCGACTGTTACTTCTCTTCATTTTATTTCTGGCCAGGCATGGTGGCACACACCTGTAATCCCAGCACTTTGGGAGGCTGGGGCTGGAGGATCACTGAGGCTGGAGGCTGAGGCCCAGAAGTTTGAGACCAGCCTGGACCACATGGCTAACCCTTGTCTCTGCAAAAAATACAAAAATTATCCAGGCATGTTGCATGTGTGGTCCCAGCTATGCAGGAGGCTGAGGTAGGAGGCTGGCTTCAACTAGGGAGGTGGAGGTTGCAGTGAGCCATGATCAAGCCACTATACTCCAGGCTGTATGACAGAGCAAGACAGTCTCAAAAGGAAAAAAAGTGTTATTTCACTTTTACATGGATTCCTTTCCCAGGAAAACCACAGATTTCAGCCAATTCTATGAGAAAATAAGTCCCCAGTGCTCAAAAATAGGGAAAGCTAGCAGCCCGACCTGAAGAAAGACACAGACATGGTAGTAAGCAGCAGTGAAGGCAGTGCCAGGGAGACCTGGGCAGGAACGGCTGAGTTGCACTGATTTTGCCCTTAGCTTTTCCTGAAGCAGAGAACTTAATAATCATGTTTATACAATCACTGAATGGAGATACAGACATATACATGTCTCTGAAAACATTCGTAGACACGTTTTCCCTTTGAATTTTGCATTCGGTTAAATTACTCTTCTGGAATGGTCCATCAGGACAGACCCCTGTTAATGCATGGACCCAGCACCACTGAGAAGCCAGGGATGCCCGGGGCAGGCACAGCTCTTGAGACTCACTTCCTCATGGACAGAAGCAAAACCGTGACGGTGTCACACCCGACCTTCATGCAGGCTGCCTTCCCGCCTCACCCCGCATGCATGGGCAGTGATACGGATGACTTTCCTCCTCCATTCCTTTTTAGTGGAAAAAGAATCTGCCCAGGCATGGAGAAGACGAACAGACCCAGCATCTGTCCATTTCACAGGCATCGACTGAGCACCAGTCCTGTTCCAAGCACCGTGGCAGGTGCTGGCCCCATGGAGATGGACGAGGTCCATTTCCTATGCCGGGAGACCTCGCAGGATGTCAGGGAGGTGGGAGGTGACCCTGGAATTATAGGACCTCTGACAAGCATGGGGGTGGTCTTCACAGCAGGCTGAGGGAGAACAGAGGCCACTGCTTTTTGACGAAGAAGAAGAAAGCTGCTCCACGGAGATGACCCCTGAGCCAGCCCTGGGAGGAGGATGGAGTTGGAAGGTCCAAGCGGAGGAGGCAGTGTGTGCAAAGATCCTGACCAACAGGGTTTCCAGTTCAGTGAGTTACTGGTTTTTTGTAGGAGCCTGATAAGGTGTAAGTGACATTAGAGAAGTCAGAAGTCCCGTGTGAGTTTGAGGATGTCATGTGATCTTGAGTGACAGGAGCCCCATCCCAATGGGGAGGGATGAGTGATGGGTCCAGCATTGTTCCTGCCACCTGGCAACACAGTTGCCAATGACGAGGTGGAAATGTTGCCTCCATGTTCATGCCATCCTGTCTTTGCAGGGTTGTAACATTTAACCTTGCATACAAATGCAAACTTGCAAGAGTAAAACAGAGAATGGCCATATGCCCTGTACTCAGATTCACCAATATTTTCCCCCATTGGCTTTTCCATTCTAGATAGATAGATAAACAGATAAATAGACAATAGATAGATAGATAGATAGATAGATAGATAGATAGATAGATAGATAGATGATAGACAGATGATAGAGATATGGAGATAGATAGAGATAGAGATGCCCACACACATATATAATTGTCCCTCTGTATCCACGGGGAGTTGGTTCCAGGAGCCCCGTGCATAGCGAAGTCCACACATGCTCAAGTCCCTTATATAAATGATGGAGTATTTGCATATAACATACACGATCTTCTTGCAGACTTTAAATCATCTCTAGATTACTTATAATACCAAGCACAATGCAAATGCTATGGAAATAGTTGTTATGCTGTATTGTTTGGGGAATAATGACAGGGAAAAACAGTCTGCTTGTGTTCAGTACAGATGCAACCATCCTTTTTTTAAAAAATATTTTTGATCCAGTTGGTTGAATCCATGGGTGAGGAACGCATGAATATGGAGGGTTGTCTGTATGTATACACACACACACACACACACACACACGCACAGATATATTTTTCCCTGAACTATTTGAGAGTAAATTGCAGACATCATGTTCTTTCCCCTAAATATTTGTGGCATTCTCTGAAAATAGATATTCTCAACAAAAGTTACACAATCATATAATACACTTAAGTATTATATGCATAGAGCATAGAGTTCATAGTCTCATTTCATGAATTATCACTTTTTTTTTTGTCACCTAGGCTGGAGTGCAGTGGCACGGCTTCCCGAGTAGCTGGGATCACAGGCGTGTGCCATCACGCCCACCTAATTTTTGCATTTTTAGTAGAGACATGTTTCAGCATGTTGGCCAGGCTAGTCTTGAATTCCTGACTTCAAGGGATCCACCTGCCTTGACCTCCCAAAGTGCTGGGATTACAGGCGTGGGCCACCACGCCCAGCCCCAGTATTTCTTTTATAGCCATTTTTGCCCGTGCAGGATCACACATTGTATCTAATCTCTGCATTGACACACTGTCTGCCTCTTTGGCCTGTTTTCCTCTAGAAGTGTCTCGGCCTCTCTTTATCATCCCCGAGCACGATGGCTGTGAGGAGTGCAGGACAGTTCCTTTGCAGGATGCCCTGGGCTTGGATGGGGGTGATGCCTTCTGGGCAGGGACTCCCCAGGGGAGGGTGTGTACAGCAGGAAGCCGCTGATGTCCCCAGGCCTGCGCACTAGTTAGGGTGGTGCCCCCGGCTCTTCTGTGGATTCCTAGTCCCTCTTTCTGATTAATTAGACTTGAGAGACCATTGTTGAGACTCCCACGCCCCCTCAAACATCCCCCAGCCATTTCAGCAGCTGCGGAGCATTCCTGCTGGAATCTTTGCTCACTCTGCGGGTCGGGTCGTGCGGGTGTGACCCTAACTCCCTCATCCCTCCGTCTCCATGAGTTAGTCTGCACCCTACTGTGAGGAAGAGCTTCCGCCTGCCCGCCCCCCGCCCCGCCGCCCTCCCGCTGTGTATCTGTCCCCTTAGTTTTATATCAGCATGAGCTCATGGGTTCTTTGTTTGTTTGAAACAGAGTTTCGCTCTTGTTGCACAGGCTGGAGTGCAATGGTGCAATCTCAGCTCACTGCAACCTCCATCTCCCAGGTTCAAGAGATTCTCCTGTAACATCCTCCCAAGTAGCTGGGAGTACAGGCATGCACCACTGTGTCCAGCTAATTTTGTATTTTTTTTTTAACTAGAGATGGGGTTTCTCTATATTGGTCAGGTGGGTCTCAAAACTCTCATCTCAGGTGATCCTCTTGCCTTGGCCTCCCGAAGTGCTGGGATTACAGGCGTGAGCCGCCATGCCTGGCAGCTCATGGGTTCTCGATGTAGTCTGTGGGCTGTAATCTGCTACCACTGTGTTTATTGTGATGCTCAAACTGGTACACATTCAGCCACCAAAGGACTGTTTCCCTGGAGGCCTCCTGGGTACCACCCCATAGAGCCACAGGTCCCAGAGTCTGCAGGATGAGAGGCAGGCTGGCCAGCAGGTATGTAGGAGTTTGGATAAAATCGCAAAGCCACATTGTCAGGCAGAGGCACCTGGCTGTGCCTCCCTGGTGTGCCCCTTCTTTGCCCTGCAGGGCTGTTCCCCCAGGCTGGAGCAGCCAGGCTCCACTAGCTGTGGCTTTTCCCACCCTGTACCCTGCACATAGCTTCAAGGCTCCCCTAGGCCTGTTGGACAGCTCCTCCCTCCCCATCTCAGGACCCTCGGCCAGGACCCTCAGCCCTCCACCCCGCACTCCAATGGCCACCACAGTGGTGGGTGGTGGGGGGCTCCTACCTGCCCTCACCCACACTCCCAGAGCTGCAAAAGGAGGGAAGCTGTTTGGGAAAGCCTTGGCAGCACATAACAAGAATCATAAAACTGTTTGTTCCATTTGACCTCGTGGCGACATTTCTGGGAAATCATGCTAAAAGAAAATTCCCCAAATGGCCAAAAGCCTGGCATGAAGAGGTTTACTGCAGACTTATACAGCTCACAAAGTAAATTACATGCCTGTTGTGAGGGGAAGGGCTAGGGAATTGATGGTGCCAGATGGACTGAATGTTAGATGTCATCTCATAGAAGTCCCACGATTGTGAAGTAACAAGGAAAACGTTTGTGCTGTGCTGTTAAGTAGAAAACTGCAGAGCAGGAAACCCAGTGTCTGCTGTAAGCAGAGCTGTGGAAGACAAGGCAGATCGATTTTCTTCTGGGAATGGCTGGTGTCAGGATTCTCCTGGGTAGGGAAGTGTCTTTCTTTGAGTCGGGGTTCTTTGCACACCTGATGTGGAGGCTCCTTGTCTACCACTGCTGGTGAAAATCTGAAAATCACACAGATGAAGGTGGTGTTCTCCGAGCTGGACCCATGCCCATGGCTGGTGGCGGGGACCCCAGGAGGGGCTGCCTCATCAGCCCTGAATCCGGCCCAGCGTGCCTGCTTCATGCTACATTTCCCCTGGAGGGCGTGAGTGCGAGAAGCGCGTGGTATCCCCAGAGGGTCTCCAGGGGTCCTCACAGCAGCCACGGTCAGGGCATCCCGTGTGGAGGTGGAGACGGGCCGTTTATGTTTTCCTTGCACGGTTCACCGTGGGAGGCCAGACTTTTGTGTCTGGAAGCAAATTACAACAGCCGTGTTTTAATATTTATTACTAGGAATGTTTCTGCGCTCACTATTCCTCCTTCTCAGCTCTCGTCACACCTTTGCTGGGTTTGTACTGAAATGCACCTCCCAGGAAAGCTGCCGTTTTAGGAATTTCACGTCGCTAGCATCTGGGAACACAGGGCGTACACAGGCGTATTTAAAAGGCAAAACTATTTTTCTGATTATAAACATACGGATTTCTCACAACTGAGGTAGGAACTCGTTCTGCCAAAAGTATTCAGAAGTCGTGGGCGGGGCCTTGAGTGGGCGGGGCATTGAGTGGGCGGGGCCTTGCGTGGGCGGGGCCTTGCGTGGGCGGCACCACGGTGTGTCGAAGGATACAGCTGTTCCTGTGCTGTGGCTCACGCCGGGAATCCCAGCATTTAGATGGGGGATGCAGCAGGAGGATTTTGCTTGAGCCCAGGAATCCGAGAGGAGGATGGGCAACATAGGGAGACCACCATCTCTTCAAAAACTTTTAAAAACAATTAGCTAGTGTGGTGGTGGATGTCTATAGCCCCAGCCACTTGGGAGGCCGAGGCAGGAAGATGGTTTGAACCTGAGACTTCGAGGCTGCAGTGAGCCGTGATCACACCACTGCACTCCAGCCTGGCAGGGCAACAGAGTAAGATCCTGGCTCAGGGAAAAAAATATATATATATATATGGCTGAGTTCAAAAGGAAGAAAAGGCAGTACCTGAGTGGCCTGAAACCCGAAGCAGGCTGGCAGGCGTGTGGGCTTGGCCCAGAGAGCAGAGCTCTGGTTCCGGCCCGTTTCTGGGGCTGGATGC